TGGGGAGTCAGAAAGATCCTACAAAGCCTGCAAAAGAGATGAAAGGAAACTTGACTCCAAATAAAGTAGCAAAGAAATGTGACACTTCTACCAAATTTGCAAAGCCTTAATAATGGGTGTTGATGAGTGTGCTTAAACATTTACATACATTATAGGGAGGAATACAACTGGTACAGCCCTTTAGAAAATCTACTTATCAAAGTGAATTAACAATCTGTAACAGCCGGTTGTGGTGGAGCACACCTTTAATCCCAGCACTGGGGAGGCAGAGGCAGGTGGCTCTCTGCAACCTATTTTTTTAACTTTAAATTTTTTTTTTATTTTTATGTGTATCCATGTATCGCTTGCATGTAGGTAAGTGCACCCGTCATGCAATGCCCGCGGAGGTCAGTAGAGGCTGTCAGATCCCCTGGGACTGGAGTTACTGACAGCTGCCATGTGAGTGCTGGGATTCGAACCAAGGTCTTCTGCAAGAACAGCCAGTGTTCTTAACTGCTGAGCCATCTCTTCAGCCCCTCTGCAACCTATTTTTAAAGATTCTGCATCTATAGTTTTTTTGTTTGAGAAAATTGCTGTACTTTTCTTTTTGGTTTTTGGAATGGGCTCTCCCAGTAGCCCTAACTGAATGAACTCAAAGAGATCAGCCTGCCTCTGCCTCCCCAGTGCTGGGATGAGAGGTTATGTGCCACCACACTGGGCTGAACTCTCATTTTCTTAAGTGGTGCCCTAAAAATAAGTCCCCCCCTTATCACTTGTACTGGTCTCTCCTTTTCTCGTTGCCCAGCTTCACCAGCCTTCCTGAGTTGAGGTTCTCCTCAGGTCATGGTAAAATAGAAGTTGGTAGACCTAAAGTGCACAAGGACGCTAGGAATCTCTCATTCCAGTCCCCTTTTCTGCTCATCAGCTAACAAGGTGAAGGGCAGCACCTTGCTGGGGAAAGAACAAGGCAATTTCTGAAGTTTCTGAATCTTTATACATCACAGGGTGGATTTAACAATCTTAATTATTCATGAGCAGAATGGCAACACTAGTTTTATAAAGCCTATCAGAAAATAAGATTGAACATGTAGAGATTAGTTTGATGTCCTGAGCCCCAGTTATTTTAAAAAGACTGCCTACTCATGCATTCTGTTGGGAGTCTAGTCTTCACAGTCAAGGTATGGTGAAGGAAACTCTGGCACGTGGATCATGAATTCAAGTCCCAGCTCTGCCAGTGATTCTGGCAGTTTTCCAGTCGGGCAATTTTCCTTACACAAAACATGGTAGTCCTCACATCTCAAAGCTGTCATGAGGGTGAGTAGCAACAAAGCTGTGAACAGTTAGTGCTACAATTCCCAATAAATGAAGAGATGAGCTGCAAGTTGTTCAAAGGAGCCGTGGCCTCTAACAGGAAGTGCTAGGACAGGGGGCATCATGATCCTGCCTTGCCTAGAGCTGCCAGCCTATGTGGGGCTTTCGTGCAGGTGGAGAGACAACACCCAAGGCACACTGCACTCTCAGCCTACCAACACCCAAAACAAGTCTATACGGAGCTCCTGCACAGTTCCAAGAGTCTAGGGTGTTTCCATTGTACAGACCTTAAAGCTGTGGGTGAAGAGGGAAATCATCCCTAAGTCTGAAGAGATGTCAGCTGAGAACTAGAATTTGGTCTTTGTTGTTCTATTTTGAGACTGGAGCTATGTAGCTCTGGCTGAGCTCAGTGATCTACCAGCCTATGTGCATACCACCACCCAGCTAAGAAAGTAGTTTGCACTTACAGAAAACAAAGTCACTAGTTTATAATCCAAGGGCTTTGAAGTTTGCAAAGGTAACTGAAACTAACACTGAAAGGCTGTAGAAAATCTCCGAAGAACATGCCCTGGAGATGTGCAACAAGGACAGTGTGGATGCAGTACCAGATTTTGCAGATGGCACCATCCAAGGAAGACACACCTGCAGATCACTAGTTGTGAGTGGCTCTGAATCACCCATGCCAGTACTTTACAAAACAATGTTTGTTGCTGAAATTTACAACTTGACAATTTGGGGAATACCAGTATTACTTAAGTGCCATTTTATTGTACATGGCACAAGAGCATTTCAAGAGAATATACAAAAGGCAGGGCTAAACTCCTAAAAACTAGAAGTTCTAGACTAATGATTATTGACTTTCAAATTATAGCTTTAAGCACTCGTGAAGAAAAAGTACTAAGGTTTTCAATTAGAATTATAAAATCTAGCATTACTGAATGTGATACCACGTCAAAGGCTTTATAACAACTCTCATCTAATCCTCACTTTTATTGACTCCTTTTTCCAATAAGGAAATTCGCACTAAGCTACAGAACTTGCAATATACTAATAGCCGTAGAGACTGGAAGCTGTTACAAGGAAAGTAAAACGATTAAGAATACAAAGACCAGGGACTGGAGAGATGGCTCAGTGGTTAAGAACACTAGCTGTTCTTACAGAAGACCTGGGTTCGAATCCCAACATCCACATGGCAGCTAACAACTGTCTGTAACTCCAGTCCCAGGGCATTGCATGACACAGGTGCACTTACCTACATGCAGGCAATACATGCATACACAAAAAATAAAAAAAATTTTAAAAATCTTATTTATTACACTGTGTACATGCATAAAGCAGGACCTCTTTACCCACTGAACAAAATGTCTTAGCTGCAGTGATAGAAAATTACTTGTTTAGATGAGCATGTTTTCTACCTTGTTCCTTAAATGTTTGAAAACTTGTGGTGGTTTAACTTTCCTAAACTGGGCATAGTGGTCTATGTCTGTAATCCCAGCATTTGGGAAGTCAAGTCAGAAAGACAAAGTTTGAAGGCAATTTGGGCTACATGAGAACCTATCTTTAAAAAAAGAATATAAAGACCACTAACTGTTCCTGCAGAGGATCCCCATGTCAGACAGCTCAAAACTGCCTGTAAACCCAGCTCCAGGGAACCTGACACCCTAGGGTGCTGGGGAAGAAAGGCCAGTTACTAAAAACCCTTGCAGTACAGATTGAGTTTAGATCCCCTAAACTTATAAAAAACCAGAACACAGCATATAGGCTCCCAGCATTCCTACAGGGAGATGGTAGGCAGCAGAAACTTCCCTGCCTCAAACAAGGTAGGAAGGTGACATAGTGCTTGGCTTCCAAACTGAACTCTAAAAAATGCCCCAGCCATTAAATCCCCTTCACAAAGATGTACACACACATACACACACAATTATAAAATGCCCAAAGAGCTAGGTCCTGAGCTGGGCATGGTACTACACACCTTTAGTCCCAGCACTCTGGTAAGCAGAGGCAGGCTATGAGTTCAAGGTCAGCTGGGACTACAGGGAAACCCTGTCTCAAAAAAAAGCTAGGTCATTTAAACTAGGTAAAAATGCAATGAATTGTGACCAGAAAATAACAGGAATGACAGTTGCATTTGGAGGTGGCAAGAAATGAAGGTTTCAATATAATCACTTGTTTAAATATAACCTCACTAAAATAGAAACTGTTTTGCATTTATTAGAGAAAGCTTAATGCCAATTGAGTTTTTGCTCTATCCACACCCTTCTGTTGGAAGAACATTAAATGCAATTACACACAAAAAAATTAGGACAAAGGTAGGGGGCATGGTGGTGCACACCGATAGTCCCAACACTCCCCAGGCAGAGACAGTATCTCTGGGTGTTTGAGGTCAGCTGGGTTTGTCTCACAAAATACTAGCAAATATAGCCAGAGTATGACCAAAAGTGAACCTGGGTAGACTGACGATCCAAGACTGGCCCATGAAACGGACCAGGTATGTGAAGTGAGAATTTTGTTCCGTGGATGGAAGCTGAACTGCTTAGAATTTAAAATCGAGTCAAAGGTATACAGCTCAGTTACATAAGTCAGTTTCTATTCAGGTAAACTGAATGGTATGGCATTAGTATGTTCCTTCAAAAACTCATGTTTAAACTCAATCCCAAATGTGGCAGGACATAGGGATTTGGAGAAACTGATTTAGAGGACCAAAGCTTTGTCTTCAGCTATTGGTACTCCCACGAAAGGGCTGACAGCCTAGGATTCAACTCCCACCCTTGTCTGCCTTCAGGACAGCTTTGTTTTCCCCATTTGGAGGACACAGCGATCAGGTACCATGTTCAAAGTGTGAACCAGCATTTCATGGGACACCAAACCTGTTATTACTTCATCTAGTCTCCAGAACTATAAAAAATAAATGTTTGCTATATACAGTATTTAGTAGGCCAAAGATAAACTCACACTAGTGTTGGGTTCTTGGTCAAAGCAATTCACAATCAGTACCTAACACAACAGGATAGCATCATCTATTTTTATACAGTAGGCTTCAAGGCAAATTCTTGGATCCTTAAAATCTAGCTACATATTAACATAATTATCACTGTTCAGAGAGGAGTCTTATATTTACCTCACTGACCTTGGCATTCACCTCCCTGCCCTAAGTCTCCTGAGTAGGGATTAGAGGTGTACCTCTATGCCAATCTTTTCTTTTAAGGTGCCAGATTCCCCTCGAATTGAAGTTACAGTTGTAGATGCTGGAAATTGAACCTGGGTCCTTTGCAAGAGCAGCCACTGCTCTAATCCAGTCAACTCTCCAGCCCCTCCATGCCAACCTTCTGTATCTTGTCCCCATGCTGATTTAAAGCAGCCGGCTTGAAACTAAAAATAAGTATGTTGTCTAGTCAAATAGTGCATTTGCTGCACACTAAACCACATCACTTAGCAAGAAAAATGTCGAATGGGAAATACAAAACAAACTAGAACAATGCACTTGCCATTCTTCCAGAGGACCTGGGTTTCATTCCCAGGACCCACAGTGGCCAGCAACCTTTTTTAACTCTAAACTGTTGGAATTGTACCAGGGTCCATGTATGCAACACACTCATACACATAAAATCAAAATAAGTCTCCATAGTGAGTTTCAGGCCAGCTGTGGCTAGAGGGAGACTTAAATAATCTGTCTCAAAAAGACCAAAAACACCAAGGGAGAAGACACCCCATTTCAATTTAAGAAAACGCTATTACATCTAGGGCTTTTATTTCTTCTTGTACATTAAGCCATGAATTCATAGGGAATGGGCTCCAGCAGCTCAGGCTCCTTTCCGTTAGTTCTCACAAAGTGTGCTTCTCTGGGTGGGGCGGGCTATCAAAGAAAAAAGGAAATAATTATGGAAAGCACTAAACTCAATTTTAAAGTGTTTTTTGGAACTTATGAAACAATTCTTAAACTTCATATTAAAATCAGCGAGCAAAGCTTTGACTATCCACCCAGATTAATACCAACAAATAATGCCAAATCAGGCTCTCACCTGGCGCTTCAACTGAACCCAGGTTCCTTTCTCTTTAGCTTCTTTTTTTTTCTGGTCATTTTCCTTCACGCGCTTCAGGAAGCTGTCTCGGCTCTTAGAGTGCTTAATATGCTCAATACGCACATTAATTCTCTTGGCAAGAATCTTGCCCCTAGAAAGATCAATAAATTCTAAGTGCCTTATTAAAAAACACAACGGAAACACACAAAACTGTTTGGATAGCTCTATTTAATAAATTATTAATAAAGAGGCCTTGAGAGCATCCATACTTTAAAGCCCCACTTCTGAGGACAGCCTCTGAAATAGTAATCTAGTGAATTTAACTAGAACCAGGCTAATAAAACTTAAAACATAATTAACTTTTTATGCTATAAAACCCATAAATATGTAAGACTTTCAAGTAAATGTCAATGTTTCCCCTGACAGGTTACATGACAAACACTAAGTTTGCCTGAGTTTTAAAAGGTTATTTCCTTTGCCCCACTTGAATGGCCAATGAAGACATAAGTCCAATTGGCAAAGTGAAAGGGGGCACGTCATGGAATACTTAAGCCACAAAAAGAACTGAAAGTCACTTACTTAACTTGCTTGTTTACGACAATGCCAACAGCATGCTGAGTGACGTTGTAGACTCTCCCAGTTTTGCCATGGTAGCATTTATGGGGCATTCCTTTTTGAACAGTACCCATTCCCTAGTTAAGAGACAGATGTTATTCCACCAATTTCCTCCTCTTTTCAAACCCTAACTTTCTTATCTGGCCTAAGAGAACCCTCTACCTCTGCCTCCAAGCAACTTTAAAAGTTGCTTGGTTACCTTAAAGGCAACCAAGTTATTCTAAGATTTCCTTTAAATGGCAACTCAAGAACTTTCAGAGCCGGTGAAATGTGTTTTTCACATTGCTTCAAGCAATCAAAAAGACAATCATCATTAAGCTCTGGAGTGCCAGCGTACAGTTAAACATTACTCACAAAGAACACAGCCTTCAATGGGGTTCTCATGACAAACTGATAGTCCCTCTAATTTCTTATAATTAACTCCCAGGAAGTAATTCCAATTTTTCTAACTTCTAGTTTTACCTCCTCCATTTTACAACTTACCTTAATGTCTACAATATCACCCTTCTTGTAGATTCGCATGTATGTGGCCAAAGGAACAACTCCTGCAAAAGAGGGGGAGCATCAATACAAAGCCCAGAATCTTACTAGTTTTCAATACACACATGTGAGTTATATAAATTTTAAAGTCTTACTAATGGACAATTTCATCTAAAACCAGTAAACAAAGTTTAAGCCTGCATTAATACTTATTATGAAACTATGTAAAATCCATGTTTATCACAAAAATCTGATGTATATTGGCTGTATGTTGTTAATGAACATTTTATGAACATATACTAACAAAAATACAATTGTATGGCAGTCAGCCTACTTACCATGTTTTCTAAAAGGCCTAGAGAACATGTAGCGGGTGCCTCTCCTCTTTCCCTTTGTGTTTGTCATTTTGGCGAATCACTGAAACCAGAAATAACAAATGTTGACAACGGTTCCCTTACCCAAAAACGTGGTTTTGTGTTTCTGTTCCTGTTTTAACGATTTAGGGGCAGTACCTTGCTACGCAGTCTGTCCTTCCCTCCCTGCCTAAATCTCCCAAGTCCTGGGATTATAGGCACGTCCACTACTGCTTTTAAAGGTTTAAATATAAAACTGTCATTTTAATAATATAAATATAAAACCATCAAGAGAGCCCAAATTCTGTAACATTAAAACCAGCAGGACTGGATATTAAAACCCAAACCAGTGCTTTCCTACCATACTATATCCACTGAGCAGTCTAGGATGCCAAGGACTTGTAGAATACAACAAAACCCTGCCTGCATTTTGATGCTGCTAATCTCTCTCTTAACACTAACCTAATTTTGACAGTGTATCTACATTTCCTCATTTACTAGGGAATTATGTACAAAGGAAAAAAATCGTTGGTAAATATGACACAGGCCTTGCCACTTTCCTGCTGGGAGACCTACCTTTAAACATCCACTCCCATTTGTAAATGGGATTAACACTTTTAGAACCGAACAAGGTAACTTCTACAAAGCGTGCAATTCTTGGCACTGGTATTCAATTAGCCAATTCATTACCACCTAGGATTTCACCCACAGGTGCTTAGAACCAAGCCGCTTCCTTGTTTTCCAACAATCGTTTGGATTACCCCAGTGATTCAGGGCAGAACTGCTACGTCTGGAAATTACTTCTACAAGGGAAACCCTCATATATGCAGCACTTGGGTTAACTCTCCCTCTTCTAAGTACTGGTGTGGCAATTTGAAGGTTACTTTCCTCCCTTCACTCGTCATCCGGGACGAAGATTTAAAAACCAGGGCCGCTTTTATGCATCACCTAGGCGGGCCCAGCGGGCACCCTTCTCGGCTATACAAGCCAGGCTTTCACACACACCGACGAGGACGGGTTCAGGGCCATAGCCCACGCCGGTGTCCTGGGATAGAGGCTGAACAGGGCCGGGCGCCCCGGATGGCAGCCCTACACCCGTGGCCGGACTCCCGGGACGGCGGCCCCGCACCCCAAAACCCCACAGCCAGCCTCCTCACGCCGCTAACACTCAGCCTCGGCGGCTGCAGGACCCCCGCTTCATTTCTGCAGAGCGCAGATCGCCGGAGCCACGCGCTTATCCTACCTGGAAGATGGCTGCTCTGGCAGAAAGGAAGGGGGCGGGGCCGCGCGCGCTTACAAGGCCCGCGGGCTGCCCGCAGCGCCGCCTGAGGGGGAGCGCCAAGTCCGCGGGGCTCTCGGGACTACGGCACCACCCCTAGGACCCGGAAACCCTGACTCGCTCTCCTCTGCGCAGACAAGCGGCAGCGGGCCAACACTCCTCATACCGGCACCGCCTCAGATAGCCCGGAAAGGGGCCTTCAAGTGCGTCAAGATGGACGCGACGTCCTGGGCGTGATGACGTATGAGCCGGCCGTCATGCTACGTAATACGAGCACCCTTCGGCCTCCGGCGTTGGTCCTCGGCTAGGTCTTGCGCGGTCAGAGCTTCTGAAATGTTCTTAATCAGCGTTGATTTGCCTAGTTTGCATGTTTTTCAAGAGGCTTTTCCCTCGGGTGTGCTCTTGGGTTGTTTTTTGTATTTTGAGACAGGGTCTCCCTCTAGCCCCAATTGGCCTGGTCCTCGCTGTGTGGACCAGGCTGATTCTGATCTCACAAAGATCCTCCTGCCTCTGCCTCCCGAGCGATGAGGTTAAAGGCATAGTCACTGCGCCACCGCTAGATTTGGCAGATCTAGTAAAACTAAAGATTTAAAAGTACTTAACCCCGCGTTCTGCTTCTATGTGCATGTACTACGGAAATCCGTTGTGTGGACAAGGAAGTACAAAACTGCAATGGGCAGAAGCAAAAAGTCAGAACCGCTCATCCATAAGCACACTTCGTAAATTAATGGGATGAAGTGTTATGTGCTCCTAAAACAAGACGGCTTGAGGCCAGAGGGGAAGCTGTGGGGGAAACTACCACAACCCAGGTTGCCTAAAGACATTTTGAACAATGCTGCATTGCTTAGTGTTACATGCGTATGTAATAGAAATAGGGAATGAAAAAAAATCAAATTTAGAAAGTGGTTGCACCGATTGGGAGGGACGGTAAAGGGAAGTTATAACTGCAATGAGTATTATGATCAGTATTGGACGCATGTGTCGCTAATGTTCGACTCATTGCACTTCCCAAAATTAAATTTCTTGAGTCTCTTTTAAAGCTTGTTCTAGATATTTATAACAGCAAATAAAACATACAAAGAACTTTCATGTATCAGACATTTCATTTACATCTCACATTGTTGTAGTGGACTAATACTGCACAATATTGTTACTTATAATCTGTAGCTTATATTTTCTTGTTTGGGTTTTAAGAGAGCGCCTCACCTATGTAGCCCTAGCTGGCCCCAAACTCTATGTAGACCAGGCTAGCAACAAACTCAGCGGTCGGCCTCCCTCTTCCTCTGGAGTGCTGGGATTAAAGGCCTGGTTTTGCAATCTGTGTTTTTTGATCAACACCCTTGATATATCTGTAACTTGTAAATTAAAAAAAAAAAAACTTGCATCAAGATGGGCCATTGGCACATTCCTGTAATCCTAGCACTCCAAATCCTGAGGAAAGAGGACTGACTGTGAGTTTGAGGTGAGTCTGGGTCTCCTGAGGCAAGGCGGAAATTAGAAAACCCAGCAACTCCAGAAGTTTAGATGTGTATGCCCTATGACCATAATTTTCTGGTTTTGGCATACTTGCAAAAGAATGTGAGGAAGGAAGCTGGAAAGACAGCTTACAGATAGGAGCTCGGAATGCTCTTGCAGAGAACCAGGATCAGTTTGCAGCACCTACATGGTGGCTAACAACCACCAAGAATTCCAGGAGATCCAACACCCTTTTCCAAGGGCTTTGCATGCACATATACTTAGATACATGCTGGCAAAATGCTCATACACAATAAGTAAATTTAAAAGAATGTGGGGAAGGTAGAATTGTCTTTATTGATCCCCTCAGTACATTGGCTCTTCCACATGCAGTCCTCTGGCCTCTAGGTCCATTTTTATCTGGCCTAATTTAATGTTCATTACTTCCTTTCAGGTGCCTCCTGTCACTCTTCCTTTCATATCACTTCCTTAGAAAAAAATCCACATCCTTTGATAAATGCAGCCCTCTGTCCTCACCATGACAGTACCACCATAGGCACAGAAAATGTCAGACTATAAATCACTCTCTGGCTGGGAATTTAGCTAGCACCCTCAGAGAACACATGCCTGAGGCTGTGAATTCAGTCCATTTCCCTCCTTTCCTTGAAAATGCTGAATCCTTCTGTTAAATAGTAACATTTTTACATTCACACCCATTTTCTTTAGCCTGTAGAATATTTCTTCAGTTAAAATATATTACATTAGGAAATCAAGATTTCAGTCAGGCATGGTGGCGAACACATAATTTCAACACTTGTAAGACTGTGGCAGGAGGATCATCATATAAGTTTAAGGCAAGCCTAGGCTACAGAGTGGGCTTGTGCTTCAAAAGAAAGAGAGACAGAAGAAAGGGAGCAGTCAAGATTTCTGTCCTTTCAGAAGCCATCAATTCTGGCAGGCTGTCTGCCAGTCTTTGCAGCAGCCGTCCAGTGACTCCCACCTCACCACTCAGCTTGCATCAGCCTTTCACCTGTCTGGCACCTGAAGGCGGTTTGGTTCCAGCTCAGTCATTTTGAAATGGGTACTCGGGTGTTTTACATCTTCAGGTCTGTCCTAGTTTGTTTGCCTATCTATTCTTTGCAAAGAGTATTTCATGTCATTTTTTTTTTTTTGATTAGCAAATCTCCCATCCTGTCTCCTGTCCCCACCTTTTATTCAGCTCATGATTGCCTCATTTTTATCAGTGTGCAAACATGCTCTTGTCTTTCCACATGAGATTTTCCACCTTCTTTCTTGTGGCCTTGATTAACTTCATCCACTTCTAACTACTGCCTCAGATTTTCATTTTTCTTCCACCAAACATTTTAAGATGAATCAGAACATTACTGGTTTTGTACATCAAAAGCTGTCCAGGGCCTGGGAACATAGTGAAGTTATAGAATACTTGCTTAACATGCTGTAAATTCAGCCCCTATTTCCCTTCCCCTTCTTCAAAATGCTGAATCTTTCTGTTAAATAGTGTGAATCCATAACAAGGTTAACAAGAGGCCTGAAAATGATCCATTAATGTTAGCTAACACAAACTGTAGACTTATGCTATGTGCCAGTAAGTAATTTACAAATTTCTAATGTAATCCTAAAGGGCAGTGTTGCAAGGTAACTTCCACTGTCTGTTTGTGTGCTTGGAACAATTTCACAGTGCAAAATGGCTGCTTTTCAGCTCTTTCCATTCCTTCCTCTTTGATGATGTTCTGCTTTCTCAAGTCATTTGGCATTCGTTCTGTTTTTCAGTTTTTAAAATTTTGTGGTTTGTTTTCTCTCATTAGTAGTTTGAGTCTGAACATACTCAGTGCATATCATTTTTAATTGTAAATTGTACAACGTAATAGGGTTTCATTGTGGCATTTTCAGACAGGCATGTGACACACTGATTATTTCCACACCCATTGCCCTCGCTTTTCCTCCCTTTCCTCGGATCCCTTTCTTTCTCCCTAGCAGATCCCCTTCCACTTTCAGAACACTTACTGTTTCTTGTTTTCTAGACTCCACACATGAGAGAAACTATGTGATATTTATCTTTCTGAGTCTGGCTCATTTCATTTAATGATCAGAAATCCACAGGTCTCTTTAAAGGAATTTTAAATTAAACAAAGCTTGTGTGTGTGTGTTGCTGAGGATAAAGCCCAAGGCCACATAGGTAATAGACACCATACTGCCACTGAGCTGTATCCCCAGCTGTAGATGAAATTATGAAATCAATCATTTTAACACAGAAGCCCCTGGGAATGAATTATTTAGAAGCAGGATTCATAATATCAGATTAATTCATTTCTTTTCATAGCTGAATTGGATGTTAGAAGAGTTTCAATACTAGACGAGGAGTTTGAGAAGTATTGTTTGTTATAAAGCTATGATACAGATCCATTCCTCCATGCAGTAGGACCGCCCCCCCCTCCCCATTTACTTCAGGAACATTAGTTCTTGTCCCATGTCTGTATTCTTAGGAAGGTAATCCTCATCTGCATCAAAACCAAAGGGACCAGACTCCCCCTCTCCTTCTCCCTGTGCCTATACAGACACAGGACAGACACTGGCCTGAAGTCATCCTGCTCAATGCATGTGTTGGCTCTTTAAGTTTTGGATTGAGTAACCAACATTGGGACAGAGCTAATGATGAACTTGTGGCACAGTCACATCACACATGGCCCATTACCACAAATCTTATGCAAAGTGCTTCTGCACTTTTCCAAGCCTTGTCCCTAATTATTTATGAACTCTGAAAAGCCACCTTCTAATAAGTCCCAGCAATAAACTCAGTAAAATCCAATAAATGACTTGGGTAAGTGAGCCAGGGTAAGGTTCTATTGTTTAAGATTCTATTAATTCATACTAGAAGATCTTCTAACTGGAAGACTCTATAGTAGCATTGAGGATTTATCCCATGGTACATGAAAAATTTAACTAAAAATAACCAGATTTAATAAGAGGCTTCAATTGTTGAGCAAATCTTAATATCTGTGACCAAACTAATTACTTTTTTTTTTTATGGGGAACAGAGGAAGCTGCCTTTATTGGGGGCTGTGGGCTGGCTGGCTGGCTTCACTCAAAGGCCACACACTTGATCTTGAAGTCACCATCTGCTGCCATGTAGTTAATGGCCTCCATGTTGAGGCGGTTGGGGAACTTGAACTCATGCCCATCTGGCAGCTTGATGGTCAGATCAGCCTGGTCGAAGGAGATGCACACCTCCACGATGCTCCCAGGCTGGAAGGGGAAGGCGGGCTCCCGGTGCTCAGTCCCCCAAGCTCCGCCATCCTTGCTGTTACACACGATGGTGTTGGCGTCCCCGTGGGCATTGAAGCGGGGGTTGAAATGTAGGCACAGGTTGTTGCTGCCTTTCCCCAGGTTCAAGACAAAGCTCTTGGCATCCGGGGACACCTCGCCCCACACTCTGAGGCACTCCCCAGGTTTGAGATTCAGATTGCTGGCGACCAAACCACAAGCCATGACTGAAGCGAAGAGAAGTTTCCTAGGATCTGCAGCGCCAGCTGTTTGAAGACTCCACCGGAGAGATCCAAACTAATTACTTTTAATTAACTTTTAGTCACAGCAAAATTTCAA